AGATTTGGTTTTGTTCTTTCTGGTTTAAATTCAAGTTAAGTTGTAATGAAAGGTTTTAATTTATAGAAAACCTTCTATGATGCTCAGAAATGTGAAAGATCTTTACAACCTTTTAAGTATTTTATGGTGTACAGTCATTATCATAAGGTAGGAAAAGCAAGAGTCAATATGCACTTAGCAAAGACAACAAGATGTTAGAGCAGAAATAGATAATTTGGTCCTTTGAGTCTCTCTGCCGTTCACTGAGTTCACAGTTGATCTGATGATCCTCAACCCAGCTTTCCTGCCTTTTCTCCATAACTCTTGATTCCCTTACTGATTAGAAGTCTCCCTACCTCAGGCTTGAATATACTTAACAACCCAGCCTCGGCAGCCCTCTGCAGAATTCCCCAGATTCACTATCCTTTGAGAGAAGATATTCCTGCTCATCTCTGTCTTAAATATGCAGCTCCTTATTCTGAAATTGTGCCCTCTAGTCCTAGATTCTCCCACAAGGGGAAACAACCTGTCTGTATTTACAGTGACAAGTCCCCTAAGAATCGTTTCTGGAGAAGGGTCACTGGACACGAACCGTTAATTTTGATTTCTCTCCACAGATGCTGCCAGACCTGCTGAGCTTTCCCAGCAATTTCTGTTTTTGCCCCTAAGAATCTTGTCTGCTTCAATGAGGTTGTTTCTCATTCTTTTACACTCCAATGGGTACAGACCCAACTGACTCAACCTCTCCTCATAAAATAGCCCTAGAGTGATCTAATCAAAGTCTTCATGAAGTTAACAGGGAAAAGACAGGATAGATAAAGATAAGCTATTTCCACCAGTTGAAGATTCTAGAATCAGGTAAATAGACAAAGAATTAGGGCCAGGCCATTCAGGAGAGATGTTAGAAAGCACTTCAACACTCAAATAGTAATAGAGGTTTTGAACTCTCTTTGTCAAACAGTGGTCGATGCTGATTTAATTGTTAAATTTAAATCTAAGACAGACATTTTTTTATTAAGCAAGATATCGAGGGATATGAGCCCAAGGCAGATATATGGAGTTAGGCCATAGATCAGTCATGATCTCATTGAATGATGGAACAGGTTTGAAGGGCTGAATGGCCTACTCCTGCTTCTATTTTCTATGCTTCCACTTCTGCCCTGTCTAGCCCACAGACTGTCCTTCCCAGAGCCCAGAGGACATGCCACCCGATGCTATGTCCCTGGATGAACAGTTGGGGCAGCAGTGGATCAGGAAGAGCAGCACGGTGACTGGTGTGTGACAGATGGTAAGCTCTTTCAGAAGATGTTCAGTGTCCTGCTCCTGTTTGTTAACAACACAACCCGCAACATTGCCTCAGTCTAAATCTTGGGAACTCCCTCCTTAACAGCATTGTGGGGTGCAGTGGCTCAAGAAAGCAGCTCAGTACTATCTTCTGAAGGGGCAGTTGGGGATGGACAGTGAATGGCGGCCTGACTCACATCCCACGAATGAATAAAAAAGATGTTGATGATTAGGGATGGAAATCGAAATTCCTGAGGGTGAGAAGTCATCCACTGTCAAGGTTGGGCATCTGTTAGCTCGGTTGGCTGATCAGCTGGTTAATGCTGCTGATAGCACGGATTCAATTCCTCCATCAGCTGAGGTTACTGTAAAGGTCACACTTTCTAACTGCGCCCCTTTCCAGAGGTTTGGTGACCCCCCCCACCAGGTTAAACCCCCACCAGAGACCTGTCCTGGAGTCTGATCAGGCTATGAAACTTTAACTTTTGAAGGAAGAGAAAGCACTGCTGAGAATGAGGATTTTAAATGAGAGGGGAGCAGGTAGGAAGCAGGTGACCTTCTGACAAGGAATCTGGAGGATTTTCAAAAAATGGCTGCAGAAACACAGCACAGATCAGCCATGACCAGTTTGAAACTCTGCAGCAGGCTCGAAGGGCTGAATGGCCAACTCCTGATCCTATTTCTTATAGTCATACTTATTTCATTTATTCATCCATAGAATATCTATATTAGCAACAAGGTCAACACCTTGCTCCCAGTTAATAACTATTGCCAAATTAAGCCTTTTATACGAGCAACTAAGGCTCAACCAGAACTACATAACTACATTGGAAAATTTGGCAAAATTTCTAGCTTGGCAACTTTTACTGTTCTTATTCTGCGTTGGAGTTGTAAGTTGATGTAATTAACAGTCTAATGACTTGTGTCATGAAAACAACATATTGCAACTTACTGACTGTGAGTTCAATTTGGCATATGTTGGAAAGAATTTTAACGCTTTTATTGTTAATCACAGATTGGAAAACTGCGCATTCAGCATATGTTATAATCTAATTACAAAAATGTGGTAGTACGGATATTTTTCAACAGAATGACTGATTTATTGATTTAATCCATCGATGTTCAGCTTTATTTGACCCGTTTCCAACAGCTGTAGTTGAGAATATAATTTAACCTTGCCGGGGATGTATTTTATTTTCAATGTGAATTAAGCAAAAGGTAAATAAGATCAACTCATACCTTTAAATTATTTATGCTTATAAGACAGGCGGGCAGCGAGCAGAACAATGAACCATGCATTTTACATTTGAAGTATTAGAACAGAGCAAAGAAGAATACAGCACAGGAACAGGCTGTTCAGTCTACGAAACTGACAGATGACATCTTTTTAGACTAAAATTGTTTTGCCTCTATGCAGCCTGTTTTCAAGATGTAGTGCTCCAAGAGGAGCTTGCAATAATTTTACAATTTTAAATAGATTAGATAGGTAATGGCAGAGAATATATTTCCTTTGATGAGTTATTACAAGAATCAGGCTATATAATCTTAAAATCAAAGATAGAAAAGAAACTTAAGTAGCACTTCTCACACAAAGTGTAATCAACATCTGGAATTCTCTTAAGAACATTGAAACTTAGCAACTTAAGAAATAGCAGCAGAATTAGGCCATCCAACCCCTCAAGCCTGCTCTGCCATTTAATATGATCATGGCTGATATCGTTTTGGTCTCGCCTTCACTTTCCTGCCTGCTTTCCAGATCCTTTTAACCTTGTAGTGATTGGAAGGAGGTTGGCCGAGTGGATCCATTGAGTATGAGATCCCTGATTGGTGCTGTCAATCTGAGCTGTTAAACAGGAGCCTCAGGGGTTCACCTCACTCTAGGGACTGGCTCTGAGCTGCTGGTCAGAGTCCATGTACTGTCCACATATATATAAAGGGTGGCTTGGCGATGGGATACCAGCCTCTGTGGAGTTATTTCAAACCTGTTACTGATTTAAAACCTGTCTATCTACTCCCTAAATTTATTTAGTTTCCCAGTTTCCATCACACTCTGAGGTAGTGAGTTCCACAGATTCAAACGTAGAAGATTTTCAGGGGACTTGGCAGGACAGGTGCAGAGGGATTGTTTCCCCTTACGGGATAGTCTAGGACCAAAGGGCATAATCTTGAAGTAACAGGTAGTACATTTAAGACCCTGATAAAGAGGAAATTCTCAGTCAATAGGTTATGAATCTATGGGATTCTTTACCACGGAGGGCTGCTGAGGCTGAGTCATTAAGTACATTGAAGGTTGAGACGGACAGATATTTAATCAATAAGGGACTTGCGGGTTACAGAGAAAAGGCAGGAAGGTAGAGTTGATGATTATCAAATCAGCCATGATCTCACCGGTTGGCAGGGCTGAATGGCCTACCTCGGCTCTTAAAAGACTAAAGATGTTGGATTAATTGGATCTTTCAAGTGTGAAATCAATAGATTTTTGTTAGGTGTGTATATCGAGCCAAAAAGCTAAGGTTGAACTAGAGCATTAGCAATGTTTGGTGTAATTTCCACTCTCACACTTGCTCCCTCACTAGGATTTACATCTATACATCCATTAATCCTCCTAGCTCTACTTCTGCTGCATTTGTTCCCTCTAAACCTGTCTATGTCAAAGCATTCATGCCTGGCCTCCCATATGGCTGCCTACTTAAACTTGGGATCAAAATTTCTGCCACCTAGATACTACATTGGAACAAGCCCCACCCCGTTCTCATTGACCTACATTGGCTCCATGTCCCTATAACATCCTGATTTCCAAATTTCATACTCACTTTCAAATCCCTACCTGGCCTTGTGCCTCCCTTACCCTGTAGTCTTCTCCATCCCACTGATTCCATTCATATCAGACTTAAAACTCAGTCTGTCTCTGTCCATACATGTTGCCAGACCTGCTGAGTTTATCCAGCACTTTTTGTTTTTATTATAAACCTTCAGAGATCTCTTATACTTTTCCAATTCCAGGCTCTGCAATCCTGAAATTATTCACTACACAATTGTGCCTTCAGCTGCCACTGTTTTGGAATCCCTCCACAAACCTCAGTCTCAATCCTCCTTGAAAGCATTCCTCAAAATCTTGCTCATTGACTACGCTTCTGTTACAGCATCTCTTCATGTAGTTTTGATCAAATTTTGATAAGTGCTTTGGATGAAGTGCTTTAGATTATGCTTTACATTAAATGCTTTAGATTATGTTAAAGGCATTAAATCAACAGAAAAGTGGTCTTGAGGTGCAGAGTAACTGAGGGATGAGTGCACCACTCCTCTCATGTATTTCTAAGTATTCACAATTAGTTCTCCCAGTCTTTGATCAGACTATTCATTGGGAGGACTTGCATAAGAAAGCTAGTACAGAGAAAGCAATAAGTCTTGATTTGCAGGAATCTAACATGTTGGGATGTCATTCTAGTTAAAGGAGAAGCCAATTTTGCTTTATGATACCGTGTCTTGTTGGTGGTACATTACACTTTACTCAGGGAGCCCAAATTTTTGTGCCAAGAAGCACTTTCACATGCTTGTTGCATTCTGGTTAGTGTTGGTAAAACTTCAATGTTCTTTTTCCCATCAAATGATTGACCAGGAATCTCTCCCATTCCTACCATTTGCCATGGTGTCTGTTGGAAGGACTCACAGGTTAATATTCAACATCGAAAATGAAATTGTTGGGCAAACTCAGCAGGCCTGGCAGCATCTGTGCAGAGAGAAACAGAGTTAAATTTTCGGGTCCAGTGACCCATCGTCGGAACTATACAAAGAGTCATTGGACTCGAAACGTTAACTCTGTTTCTCTCTCCAAAGATTCTTGTTGCATCTGCTGAGTTTCTCCAGCAATTTCTATTTTTGTTTCAGATTTTCAGCATCTGCAGTTCTTTATTTTATGTTTTCCACATGTTTGGCCACATTATGAGCGTACTTTCTTTGACTGTTAGGCTCTGCAGGCAATATGAACCCAGAGCTTCAGGCTCAGAGACAGGGCAACCACCCACTGTATCTCAAGACTGATTACACCCTACATTCCTGCACTGCCAAGTGAAAATGTGTGTGGATGGCAGTGAGCAGGTAGAGAAATGGATGAGGGACATCAAAAATAGATTGGAAGAAATTAATTCAAATTAATATCAAAATTTTACTGTACAGGAGCTGTATTCATAATGATTTAGGTATTGGCCAATTCAATTGCTATTCAAAGTCTGCTGGAATAGAATATAAAATATTCTTTTATTGTCGCGTGTTCACCATTGTAGGACTACAGCGAAAAGCTTTTACAATGTTCACTTTCTTATGGCAACATCTTAGGTACAAGTACCTAGATACAAGTCTTGGATATAGTAATGGAATAAAAGTAATTGCATTACTTTATAGAGTTGAAAAACAACTTAAAAACAGGACATCGTTAAAGGGTTAGGGTAGGAAATTACCGACATTACAGTGTAGCAGCTCAGCATAGGGCCTCTGCACATGGTCTGTGCTGTTCCGGGGCTCGCAGCCCACGCGCTGTTCTGGGGCTCACAGCCCGCGTGCTGTTCTGGGTCTTACAGCCCACGAGCTGTTCTGGGTCTTACAGCCCACGAGCTGTTCCAGGGCTCACTGCTCACATGGTTCTGGGGCTCCAAGCCCACGCACTGCTCCACTCGCAGCACACGCTGCTCCGGGGCTTGCAGCCCGCGCGCTGTTCCGGGGCTCGGAGCCTGCGCGCTGTTCCGGGGCTCGCAGTCCGCACCCTGCTCCACCTGCCGCTGCTCCAGGGTTTGCCTCTGGTGCTAAGGGGAGAGAAGAAGAGAAAAAGAGAGGGGAAAAAACAAGAAAAAGAAGAGGCAGAGCAGAGGAGCTCCGACAGGAGCATCCTACTCTGCCTCCATCTTACCGGTGTTGCTATTTGAGTAGTTGTGATGGTTCACAGTTTGTCTGCTAACTCCAGCACTGGACAATCATAAGCAAAGGGAAAGGCAGGACCACTGCTGTATCATTGAAGAACAAATACATCGGATTGGAAGGGAAAAACTTGTGATTCTTGTTCTGTTGGCTTGAAGAAAGAGTCCTTCCAATCAAAAATAAACCCACTTTTAAAAAAAATATCAATGGTAAATTATTATGCAGTTGATAAAACACAGCCCAGTCAATCACACAAGCCAACGTTCCATCCATTGACTCCATCTACACTTCTTGCTGCCTTGGAAAGGCAGCCAGCACGTCAAAGACCCCTCTGACCCCGGTTATAATCTTCTCCAACCTCTTCCATCATGCAGAAGATACAAAACCTTAAAGACACATACCAACAGGTTCAAGTACAGCTTCTTCTTCTTGTTAGACTTCTGAATGGACCTCTCAAATTTCAAATCTAATGTTGATCTTCCCCTTGTGCACTTTCTTTGTAGCTGTAACTTTGTATCCTTCGCTCTGTTCAATCAACCTATCATCTTTGTATGGTATGATCTGCCTGCACTGCATGCAAAACAAACCTTTTCACTGTATGTAAGTACACATGACAATAATAAATCAAATCAAAGTCTGTAAGAAAGGTCCTACTGCACATGATAAACAGTAATACTATCTGCTCCACCAATTTATTGCTTTTTATTCCAAAACAGACTGGCTTGGTGCTGTGTCGACGGATGGTCTGTGACTGTGAAAACCCTACAGTGGATCTTTTCTGTTGCCCTGAGTGTGACCCACGACTAACCAGCCAATGCCTGAATCAAAAAGGAGACATGACGTATAAAAGTGGAGACTCTTGGGTACAAGACTGCCAACAGTGTCACTGTGTGGTAAGCCATTGGCTTGTTCAGACATTTGATACGCTCCTAAATAAATACTCAAATTCAGTCATTAAATTTAACACATTGGTGTAAGATAGGCTTACACAGATCCTAAAGGAAGTTGCTATGATGGAAATAATTCCAAATACTGTATAGAAAATCAACTAAATTCATGAATCATTGAAGAGTAGACCATGATTATTGTATGATGAAGTGGAAAAAACAGCTGATGTTACACAAAGTAAAGCATGATACCTTTTGCAGTCTTATATAACATTATAATAGACATTCAGAGCACTATTTTCTTCCTATTTTTGTGCTCTGAACTGTAAATTTCTTCAGCACAGGCCGAGCCAGTATTTATTGACCATCCCAAGGTGCCCTTGAGAAGTCAGTGGTGAGCTGCCTTCTTGAACCATTGCAGTCTATTTAGCATGCAAATAAAGTTACACTTTCTGCTTTCAAAGTTGAAGGCTCAGGCATTATGTTGTGATGGTCAGAAAACAGTATATGAAAGGACAGATAAGAGAAGCCATGGAAACTTGACCATATTCGCACTTTCCAGAGACAACACACAAGGTTAAAGTTTTGTCATTACTTATTATTAATGCACAGCACAGTCAGTGTCATCGATCAGAGTTCATATAAAAGTGGTGCTTGCTTGCATTCTCTCTGGAATAGCCTTGTATTAAATGTCAATGCTTACTGTCTAAATTGTAATCACACATTACATAGACTATACATTAGTATATGGGTATTCATTACAGATCATATCAATTGTCAAACATATAGACGTTGGCTGGGAATTCCTGCGGTACGGAAGGGTTCCAGGTTGGAAAGCTGGGCTGGAATATGGAGAAGTGAACCAGCTTGGTGGGTGGCAGGACTCACAAGTGCACTTTATGCATAGTCGTCAATTAAGGCTTGCTGCTCAGCATTGCCACCACGAGTGGTGGCCACAATGTTGGTGCTGCACACAGAGGAAGTGAACTCAGCAATGGACGTTAGGGTTTAAGACCAGTCAAATCAAGTCCACTCCCTCCACCACCAATGCTCAGTAGCAGCAGTATGTACCATCTACAAGTTACGCTGCAGAAACTCACCAACACTCCTTAGGCACACCTTCCAAATTCATGATCACTTCCATCTTGAAGGACGAGGGCAACAGATAGATTGGACACCACCACATGCAAGTTCTCTTTGAGGCCACTCACTGTCCTGACTTGGAAATATATCATCGTTCATTCAGTATTGCTGGGTTAAAATCCTGGCATTTCCTTCCGAGTGGCGTGTGAGTCTACCTACGCCAAATGGACTGCAGTGGTTCAAGAAGATAGCTTACATCCATCTTCCCAAGGCAGTTAGGTACGGACAACACATGCTGTCTCAGGCTGCAATGCCCACAACCCACAAGTAAATATAAAAAGAGCCAGGTAGACGCAGGAGCTTCACTGAAAGTTGGTGGTGCCAATGCCATTGAGATGGTCATTTCTACTTTGCTGCATCGTCATGGGCTAAGGAGTGCACAAAAAGGAAGGCAGGCCCCTGCACACTGAGGGAGGTCACCAGTGTTCGCTTAGTGGTATTCTCATGTGGCAGAGGGCCCTTCCACTCCTAGCAAAATGTTAGTGGGTCCAGGAAGAGACCTTTTAGTGAACCACTTAAGTGGCAGAGTTGGTTTCCAAAATGGCTGTCTGCCACATTTCCTGCTGTTTGGCAGCAGAGCCTGATTTTTTTCCATTTTACCAACCTTCTGACCTCTAAGCCCATTCCGAAAGGCTCGAGACAATTAGAATCACGACAGTGCAGAAAGAGGCCGTTCAGCCCATCGAGTATACACCAACCCTCCAAAGAGCATCCCTGCTTTTCCCTGTAACCCCATACATTCTATTACTGTGGCTGACCCATTTAACCTGCACATCTTTGGACTGTGGGAGGAAACCCATGCAGACATGGGGAGAACATGCAAACGCCACACTGACAGTCACCCGAGGGTGGAATTGAATGTGGGTCGCTGGTGCTGTGAGGCAGCAGTGCCAACCATTGAGCCACCGTGCTGCCCCAATTTTTCCCCTTGTTTCTGCGCAGGTTTAGAATAAGGTTCTGGCTGAGAGACGTTCTTCCAACACCTCCCCCTCACCCTCTCCCTCCACCCTTCCCCGACCCCCTTCACAAACTCTGTTCCTGCCATAGCTCATCTCATCGCCATAGTTCCTTTCCATTCTAAGGCCTTGGATTCCCTTCAGTGTGGTGATGCTGAGTCCGGTGATTGTGATCTCTGTCCATGGGGTCCGTGATCCGTGGTGGGCCTTCCTCAAAGAGGCCAGAAGGGATCGAGGTGGGGGTCCAGTTAGCAGACAGCCAAGATCAACTCCACAAGATTGGGCCACAAGTCTTTTTGGGATCCCTGTCAAAACATAACCATTAGCCGAGAGGATCACTCGATGCAGATAAATTTCAATAACTTAATTTGTTCTACCGTAGTGTTATAATTCAGATTGATGTGCCACTGGCAACAACTGTAAAACTGTCAATCCAATTTATTTCTTTATTTTCGGCACTCTATGGTTTCATTTCAGGAATGCATAACCGTTCAAAAATTAATAGACATGGAAACATAGAAACAAACAAAATACGAGCAGGCCATTTGGCCCTTTGAGCCTGTTCTGCCTTTGATGTGATCATGGTTGATCATCCAACTCAGTCCCCTGTTCCTGCTTTCTCCTCCTACGCTTTGATACCTTTAGCCCAAAGAACTATACTTAATTTTCTTCTTGAAAGCAGTCAATATTTTGGACTCCACCACTATCTGTGGCAGACAAATTTGATAACATGTAATTCTGTTGGTGTTCTCACAATATTAAAGAGACATACGTGTCTGGGCTTTGAAATGGTTAGATTGTGATTAGGGCCCCTAAAGGCGCTTGGACAGGTGATGACCAGACTGTGGTAAATCAAGTGGTCAGTAGAAATTGGTCCTCAAGCTGTGTCAACATCCTCAACACTGGCCGTGTCTCCACAAGATAGGGGCGGTGATGGCCTAGTGAGACCCAGGCAATGTCTGGTTCGCAATCCTGCCATGGTGGGCTTTGAATTCAATAAAAATCTGGAATTAAGAGTCTAATGATGACCGTTAGTTGATTGTCAGGGAAAAAAAGCATCAGGTTCACTAATGTCCTTTAGGGAAGGAAACTGCCATCCTTACCTGGTCTGGTCTACATGAGACTCCAGACGCACAGCAATGTGGTTGACTCTTAACGGCCCTCTGGGCAATTAGGGATGGGCAGTAAATACTGGCTGTAGCCAGAGATGCCTTCATCCTTTGATTGAATGAAAAAAAAGATGACCCACCCGAGTAAATAACATCAGTACTGGCCTGCCTGCCTTATATAGCAGCATTCACTCAAGTCAGAGGACTATTATGTAGAAGGAGGTGGGGAGTAATTATGTCCATCCAGCTCCAGAGCGCATTATTTTTAACCAAAAGAAGAACTACAGGGTATGGTAATGAATATCTGACCAGGGTTGACCCCATCCCAGGTTCACTGTACCCCAATTAATTTCTTATCCATCTTTAGGAAATTAGAATCCCTCATACTTGTTTCTGGCATCCACCAGAGACATTCAACTAGCTCTGCCAATTTAGCCAGGAAGCCAAATTCTGCTCAGATTCAGCACAAGACCATTCAACTGTTAAATGGATACAATTTGTGCCTGTTTTATCCCTGGAGGAAGGGAGGATTCATTTCAATTTCCACTCCAGAACCATTTTTGATTCCTTAAAATCTGGTGTAAAACTTCACTGTTGAACTTTGTTTAAGCTGTACACACAATTTCTGAAGAAGAGTCATACTGGACTCTGCTTCTTTCCCCACAAATGCTGCCAGACCTGCTGAGTTTCTCCATCACTCTCTGTGTTCATACAATTTCTATCCTTCCTTCAACAGCACCTTCCAAACCCATAATCTCTGACATCTAGAAGGATGAGGGCAGTAGATAGGAGCATTATCATCTGCAAATTCCCCTCCAAGCCACACTCCAATTCCTGACGTGGAATTGGATCATCGCTCCTTCAGTGTCACTGGATTCAAATCCTGCGACTCCCTTCCAAACAGCTCTCGGGATGTTCCTACGCCACATGGACTGCAGTAGTTCATGCAGGAGGCTCACCACCACATTCTCAGGGGTAATTAGAGATGGGCAATAAACGCTGGCCCGGCCAATGATACCCACATGTTAAAAAGTGCGTTCCATCAATTCAGATGGATCAAAACAGTTAAACCAACAAAATCACTCACCACAGCATGGGAAGCACATTGATCCTTGGTAGTGTATGCCTTGTAAGTTACAAAATTTACAAGTGATGTGTTCTTTTCCCAATCGATTATATTTGGACCAGAAATAATTCCAGTTCATCTCTGTAATAAGCCACACGTTTCCCACTGGTTTCACATATACAGGAGATGTGACACAAGGCACTACATATTGACTTTGTAATGTGATGCTCATATTCACTTCAAAGCGTTGCTTCATATTGACTCTGACCAATTGTACAATGGCTTAGGTTTTTAACTGTGTTCTTTGTTGTTTGTTTTTTTTTACAGCAAGGTGAGGTTGACTGCTGGCCTCTGCTGTGCCCAGAAATCGATTGTGAATTTAGCACAATCCCAGAGGGTGAATGCTGCCCACAATGCATCACTGATCCTTGTCAAGCTAACAAAATCCGCAATGATATCACCAAGACTTGCGTAGATGAGCTTAATTTGGTCCGCTTTACAGGATCCTCATGGATAAAACATGGCACGGAATGTACTCTCTGCCAATGCAAGGTGAGCCAGAGACACTTCTCAATCTCAGCCTGTAACGGTTGAGCAGGAACGTAATATTTTTCCAAAAGCAACAACTCATACAGCTCCTTTGATAAAATATTTTATGGCAAATCAAAAACTTCTGAAGTACAGTCAGTGCTGTAATAGAGGAAACTGTGATGAAGGTGTTTTTAATTTATTTGTTCATGAGATGTAGGCATCACTGGCTTGACCAGCATTTATAGCCTCGTCCCTAATTGCCCTGAGGGCAGTTAAGAGTCAAGCCTTTTGCTGCAGTCACATACAGGCCAGGCCAGGTAAAGAAGTCAGATTTCCTTCCCTACAGTGTTGTGTAGGGTGATGTGAGAAAAATACTTTCACTCAGCAAGTAGTTAGGGTCTGGAATGCACTGCCTGGAAATGTGGTGGAGTCAGGTTCAATTAAGGCATTCAAGAGGGCATTGGATGATTATTTGGATAGAAATGGTGTGCAAGGAGATGGAGAAAAGGCAGGAGATTGGCACTAGGTTATGATGCTTATATGAAAAGCCAGTGATAGGCCATCTGTCATGGTGGGATTTGAACCCATGTCTCTAGATCATTAGCCTGCAGCTTTGGATTACTATAGTCCAATAACAACACACTACAGCACCTCCTCCTCTGGTAATATCACAGAAGTAATCACCCGGGGTCCAGGCAATTTCCCCGGGAACATGGGTTCAAATCCCATCATGGCAACTTATGGAATTTAATTTCAATTAATAAATCTGGAATTGAAAGCTCATCTCGGTGATGATGACCAGGGCAACGGCCATCAGTTCTCATAAAACCTCATCTGATTCTGTAATGGGAGGGAAATCTGCTGTCTTTACTTAGTCTGCCCCATACTGACTACAGCAATGTGGTTGATTTTTATCTGCCCTCTGAAATGCTCTAGCAAGCACCATTTGAAACTCCTCAGATACTGAAGCAGTCCATGTTCAAATGTAACATTGCGACAATGCCCAGGCTTGGGCTGACAAGTGGTGAGTAACATACGTACCACAGAACTGCCAGGCAAGGGCCATCCCCAATAAGTGACAATCTAACTACTTTCGCTTAATATTCAATGGTGTTACCATCATTGAATCTCTCACTATCAATATCCTGTGTTACCATTGACCAAAAACTCAATTGGACTTGCTACAAAAACACAGTGGCTATAAGAGCAGGTCAGAGGCTAGGAATACCACAGCAAGTAACTCAACTCCTTATACTCCCCACTTGCCCTGGATGGGTTCAGCTCCAATAACACTCAAGAAGCTCGACACCATTCAGGCCAAAGCAGCCGCTTGATTGGCACTACATCCACAAGCATCCAATCCCTCCACCATCCATGCTGAGTAGCAGCAGTGTGTACTATCTACAAGATGCAATGCAGAAATCCACCAAAGATCCTCAGACAGCACTTTCTAAACTAACTACCACTTCTATCTAGAAAGACAAGGGTGGCAGAGACATGGGAACACCACCCCCTGCAAGTTCCCTTCCAAGCCACTCACCATCCTGACTTGGAAATATATCACCATTCCTTCACTCACACTGGGTCAAAGAACACAAAACTCTGCTTTAATAATGTTGATTGAGGGATAAATACTGGGAGGGTGACCAGGGAGAATTTCCTGACACTTCTTTGAAATAGTTCCATCTGCCTAAGTGCCAGACAAGATGTTTGCATTCAAAAGGTGGAAAATTAGTGAAAATTTACAAACACTGCACACTAAAATACAAACAGGAAACTGCAATCAATCCTTCAATATCTGAAAAGACAACGGCCTAGATTTTTCAATTAGTGACTGAAACCCTATTTCCTGCCTTGATCTTATTAAAAATGACTCACTCTGAGTTAGAGATTCCTGAATAGAGACACCTGTACAGTCTGACCAGGAATCTGTGAATCCAACCGTAGAGAAGATTTTTGGAGATAACCCGTCACATTTTGGAATAGTAAATGTGTGTGTTTGGTAATTTAAATAGCCCAGCAGCACAGCCCAATCACTTTGCCAGCTCCTGTGAAATGTTAAAGTAAGCTAAGTGTGGTGTTAAGGTAGGAGTTATTTGAGGAGCTAATCTGCTAAGTGGTTGAGGGGGATTTGGTGTGCTGGGTGACTGAAAAGGATATTGTGTCAGATGGTTGAGCTGATAGTGTACCAGATGGGTGAGGGGAATAGCATGTCAGGTGGGTGAGGGGCCGTAGTGTGCCAGGTGGGTGAGGGGAATAGTGTACCAGGCAGTTGAGAGGACTAGTGTGCCAAGTGGTTGAGGTATGCCAGGTGGGTAGGTTAAAAGAGGTTTAGCTGGGAAGGGCTGGTCAGTGGTGAGTCCAGGGGTCAGTTTAGCAGTTTAGAGTAGGTTTTTAATCCTCTAACCTTTCCTGGTTAACTACTAACCTATAAACGGTCTCATCTCTCAGACTTTAAGGGGCTCTTTCCAGAGGGTTTCAGAGGCAGGGGAATTGCCCATCAGAAGTTTCAATTTCCCAAGTAATTCCCACAGAATCTACTGTGTTAGCTTTTCTATACAGTCCCAATGCGCACCTTCAGTCTGTGCTATTTCAGTGACTTTCTGGAGTATCTGGACCTGGAGAATAATTAATCTTTAGTAAGGATCTCAGGCAAAGTAGGCTTTTTAGTCGAGTTTTATTCATCTGGTATATGCCGAGCCATTTGTTACAGATAGATCAATATCTCCTTGTCAACCCATCCATCATAAATTAAAGCAGACTATTTTACTTGATATATGTAGGACAAAATTACTTTAGTTTTATTAAACCACCAACGTGTGCATAATTTAAATGTAATATTCTTTGAGGTCAGGCCTCAGGTATGATATAAGCTTAGCATTTAACTATCATCTTAACCATAGATTATATTATAGGATACACATCACGTTCATGTATTGGCATTATTTTCACAATATGTATTATGAGGTAGGTAGCAGTTTTGTTGCATTTTTGCTGCTAACTAGTTGCATGCAGAGCACTTATTTGTCAGTGATGATGGCCTGACTGTAAAAATGAAATTTATTTTTAAGTGAAAAGTAATCAATTACTAGAAAATAAGGCTGAAATTTTGTGTATTTAATAGTATTAAAATCTCTCAACATTTAGATCAATGTAATGATTATTTTTCCTCAATGTTATTCAGAACATATTTTTTCTTCAATACCGTGTAGCTTAGTTCAAGTTTAGGACTTCGCAGATTAAAAGGTTGCAATTGATTATTAAGTTACGGAAATGTGATTAGCTACTTATTGAATTGTAATCCAGTCAGAAAGTGTATAATATAGTTCCTTAGTCTCTTAACAGGCAGTTCCCAGGTTACAAACAGGTTCCATTCCTGGGTCTGTTTGTACACAAGTCAGAAAACAATGCAGGGCAATATATTATAGCCATTTTAAGGGCAGGAAACGTACATCTATTGGATCTTTAAAATTACACCTCAGTAATGGGATTGCATTTGCAAGTACAAGATGGATGTTTGTTAATCAGAAACCCCTGTACATTTGCTTTCTCTCTTCAGATGCTAAGCGAATATAGATCTTTGTCTTCCAGTTTGATCTTAATCAGTATTAAAAACTATGCAACCTGAAATTTGGTGTGAAGCCATTATAACACAGAATATGACATTATGGCACAGATTTAACTAGGTCATTACATCATTTTCAATAATTTAATGTTTCAGAGTATGTAATTAATAATCTCTTTAATTGATAGTAAGTTCTGCTTCTAAGGCAATTGGCTCATGCGTCTATATCTGACTGTGTGTTTAATAAATCACTGTTAAAATTATTTTCCATATTGGATACATGAAATTAACCCACCTCAAAAAAATAAGCATTTATATCTCTGTTTTAACTCCTTCTGAAAGAACCTGATAAATATCTAATTAGGTGTAGATTGACAGTTTGAGGAATGAGAAAAGAGCAAGACTGTCAAGTGCAGTATAGAATACAACGATTTTTACACTGTTGTGACTGGGGAAATGTCATCCATGGAAAACAACCAGCCAAAGTTGAATAATGAAAGTGTACGTTTCAGTTGCCTTAAGGGTTTCAGGGAAACAGTGCGCCGAACTTCCTGTCGGCAGATTAAATAATGGAGCAGAATTCATGATTGAGTGTCTATTGCATGGTTTACAAAAAGAATGGATTAGGTTTCTTATCAGGAAGTTGTAATAATCTCATGTGCTGATATCTTCACCTAACAAAGGGGCAGCGCTTTGAAAGCTTGTGATCTCAAATAAATCTGTTGAACTATAACCTGGTGTAGTGTGACTTTTGACCTGAATGCTAATGAGCAAGGGAACAGGTTTTCCACACTGAACCTGGACAGAACAGGAGCATGAAATACTCATTACTACCCCAATGAAAATTTCTTAATATTTATCCATTTCAACAATATGCAAAAGTACAACTTTTCATTTTATATCTAGGACACAGCTCTGTCCAATTTTAAAAAGTACAGAGAATACTGGAGAAACTCGGCAGGTCTGGCAGCATCTGTGGAGAGAGAAAACTTCTCACATACAAATTTCTCTCTCCACAGATGTTGCTGGACCTTTTGAGTTTGTCCAGCATTTCTCTGTGTTGGTTTCAGATTTCCAGCATCTGCAATGTTTTGCTTTCTGTTCAATTTTAGCTTGAACTTTTGATACCACTAACAAACCATTGATACAGGCCACATATAAAACAACAAAGAATGGATGCTGGAAATCAAAAACAGAAATAAAAATTGCTGGAAAAATGCACCAGGTGTGGAGAGAAAGCAGAGTTAATATTTAATGGTCCAGCAACCCTTCTTCAAAACAATTCTTCAGATACAGACCATAACCTTGACATTACGATGGCTTTCTGAATACATATCCATGACATTACCAAGGTTAACAGCTTTCAACACCTGACATTTCCCCCTGCCTTTGGTCATGTGCTGCTGAAACACTTATCTGTAATTTTGTCACCTTTAAAATTGATTATTTTAACCTTTTCTTGCCAGTCTCCCATCTTCCTTCGTACTCTGCTTCCCATGTTCTGGCACAATCATTCATGAATAAAGACAGAAATTGCTAAAGAGACTCAACAGATCTGACAGCATCAGTGGAGAAATTTTGTGCAGTATTTTGCACTTGTTATAAGAACTATACATGCATGTGTTTGCCAACTTACATTGGCTCCCTGACCAAAAATGCCTCAATTCTAAAACTCTTATTTCAGTTTTCAGAGCCTTTCATACCCTCGGCCATCAATTCCCAGTGTCCCTCCAAATCCAACACGCCCTCCTCCCTCCCCCCAACACTACCACCTTTCACAGGGCTATAACTGCACAGCTGATATCTGCACATTTCGAATTCTCGCCTCCTTTGACAACCCCAATTTTAATGATCCTGCTGTTGTTAGCCATGCTGCGTAATCTTGGAACAGTTTCCAAAACCTGTACTGCTCTCTCCTTTTAACATGCTTCGTAAAATCTCTCCCATGACCAAATTTTAATCATCTATCTGTATATCTAGTGAGGCAGATGGCTGTCTCATCTTGTTTGATGTGAAGTGCCTTGGGACATTTCACAGGCTCAAAAGCACTATATAAATGTAACTTGTTGTTGGTGGTCCCTTCGAGTGTATTTTAGATTGAGTTTAGTAAATTTATAGATCATCAATCTATTCAGAGATATTATCACACACCACTGAAGCAGGTCAGGTTTGAACCTGGATCTCCCAGTTCAGAGGTAGAGACATTACCACAGAGCCACAAAACCCCTTTGCGGTAGCATGCAGATTTTTCCCTAATTTGTTCGGAGATGGAGCAGGTGGGACTTGAACAAATGCCTCCTGATTCAGAGGAAGGAACACTACCACTATGTCCCAAGCGCCCTTGTTTAGTAGATTTATAGAATTCTGTTTTATGACTTTGCTATATTTATGTATCTGTACTAATTTCAGTCTGAAAGTGCATGGGGCTGTTGTGATTTGCAATGTAACTTTTATCCCAGTGCCTCTCACATTCTTTCTTTTCTCCTCCTCCAGAATGGTCATGTCTGCTGCTCAGTGGACCCTCAGTGCCTTCAGCAACTCTAAGCTGTAAAACACTCTGTATAGCATTTGTTGTGCCATTTGTATGGAATTCCTGTCAATTCTGCAGGGCAAGAGTTAACATCAGTACAAAACTCTCTACAAGAACAACTTTCCTATCAGAAAATAATGTTTATACCAAATACATATTTACGTTTAACCAAAACAGAAGCTGTTGTCATCAAGAGGAAATCACATTATAGCCAGGACTGAGAGTGTTGGAGCTAAATCACATGTGGCCAGTTTACAAATGGAGAAGTCATTTGAAAGCAAGTGCAAACTTGTTAGATTGTATGTGAAAAACATGTTTTAACACCAAGTTTAGAAAGAATATATGTACAAGCATGACTAGACAGTAAGGATCTCAATGCAAGGGAAGTCTGGTAATGTATTTTTTTTTCTGTTGTTTGTTTGAATTGATGTTTCCCAGTTCCAATGATTGCTGACTTGCTTGTCTTAGTGCAAATATGTTGAATTTAAATTAAAACAATTTTCATTCAATTTCAAAATTATATCTTTTCTTCAATTTAACACAATGCCAACACTTCAGTTTTCAGAAGCATAGTGCAAGTTGACTGAGCTTGACCCCAGGGTTGGAATGTTGTCAATGCAGCAGAGGCCGGGGCTAACACTGCCTCAACCGTTTTTGGGACACACACACCCCCACTCCACCCCAATAAAAACAGGCGATAGTTTACAACAGACTGTCAACTGCTGTTCCTTGCCCACCTCCAGGAGGATCAGTAAAGCAGATGTCTCAGCTTTAAGTAACTTCTTACACCTTGGGAAGGATATATTGCCCTTGGAGGGAGTATAACAAAAACAACGCTTGGACTTCAGGTGTTAGGTTTTGCAAAAAGATTGTACAAATTAGGCCTGTTTTCTCCAGAATTTAGAAAGTTAAAGTCGAAGTCTTCAAGATATTAACAAGAAAAGTCAATTTATTCATTCATGGCATGAGGGCGTTTCTGACTAGGCCAGCATTTATTGTCCATACTTCATTAACCACAGCACAGTGAAGAGTCAACCACATTGCTGTGGATCTGGAGTCACATGTAGGCCAGACCAAGTAAGGATGGCAGTTTCCTTCCCTAAAGGACATTAGTGAACCAGATGGGTTTTTCTTGACAATCAGTAGGTTGTCATTAGACCATTACATAATGATAAACCATTATCATTAGATAATGATAAACTATTTCCACTGATTCTAGATTCTAGAACTAGGGCGCATAGTCTGACATTGAGGGCCAGACCATTCAGGAGCAATGTAAAGAAGCATTTCTACATACAAAGGGCAGTAGATCTTTGGAACTCTCTTCCACAAGTGGTAATTGATGCTATAGAAACAAAATCAGAAATTTCTGGAGAAACTCAGCGGGTCTGGTGGCATCTGTGAAGAGAAAACAGAGTTAAGGTTTCAGGTCCAGTGACCCTTCAGAAACCTGAACAGTTCAAACAGTTCTGAAGAAGGGTCACTGGACCTGAAATGTTTACTCTGCTTTCTGCCTCCAAAGATGATGCCAGACCTGCTGAGCATTTCTAACAACTTCTAATTTCATTTCTGATTTCCAGCATCTACAATTCTTTGGTTTTTTGTTTAGTAGTTGATGCTAGATCAGTAAATAATTTTAAATCTGAGATAGATAATTTTTTGCTAAGCAAAGATATTAAGGAAGTTAGAACATAGAACATAGAACGTAGACCATTACAGCGCAGTACAGGCCCTTCGGCCCTCGATGTTGCGCCGACCTGTGAAACCAATCTGAAGCCCATCTAACCTAAACTATTCCATTATCATCCATATGTTTATCCAATGACCATTTAAATGCCCTTAAAGTTGGCGAGTCTACAAAGCCATGGATCAGCCATGAGCTCATTGAATGGTGAAATAGGCTTGAATGCTGAATGGCCTACTCCCACTCATGTGCTCTTCAGAGTCATATCCCAACACTTCCAGTCTGGGACTAACACTAACTCTTTGCTGTAAGGTAACCAAGTTCACTATATCCTTCCCTTCTCAAGAGCACTAATCTATATAACCAAATACATTCAAGGTCTTCACAAGACTGCTTAACTCAACGAAAAAAAGCAAAAGTAAAATCTCTGTCTCAGGGCTATGGATGTTTCCCCCAAAGTTGAAAAAAAAGTCTTTTAAAAATCTCTATCAAAGCTTGAGGCCCCATTATTTATTTTGCTGAGTCACCAAGCAAGCGAAAGTGATCAAAAATCCATTAATGGTGCATAAAAACCCATAAATAGGTCTCATGAAACACTTAAAAAGAAATCACCATGTCTAGAGAAACAAAGACAAGTTAATTCTTCACTTCAGACACATGGTAAACCCACATGTTATGACCATAAACCGAAAACTCAAACTTACAATTAAGATGTATACAAATCACGTGATCTACATCGCAATGTGCAGAAATAAGACACAGACTCAGAACAGCAGAACTAATGACATTAACACACACAAGGTAATCTACACAGTGGGACACCCATCACCATTAGAAGAGACCTGGATTTGCTGAGATACCTCCATTGGTGAAGACATCGGAGGCATTCCTAGGGCAGACAGCAAATTCAGATGAGCCACAAGAGATACAATTTGACTACAACAATGTACATACTATTCATTTTGTGCTTGGTATGGGAGTATTACTGCCCTATCAGACTAGGTCCTATGCTGCACTGAGGATGTTACCAAGCATGGTAACGAAACATCTGCGAAACAAGAAACCAGCTTGGTGAGCCAACCAACCTCAACAACCTCATCAACCTTCTTATTTTGTAAAACAGAACCATCGATGCCAATGACAGAGATAGTGCTGAGTGAGCAGCTGTCGTTTAGTAACGCAACTGGTGACTGAAAAGGTTTACTTCGCCAGGAGAGGTCACCTGGGAATATACAATTTTCTTTTCTGTGCGTCATTTTTGCAAGAGTTCGTTTGTAATTTCAAGTATTCCTTCATTTGAATTATGAGGGATTTTCAGTATAGGTCTTAGCATCAACATTTCAATGACCTTTTTTTCCACAGATCATTACTCATTGTCCACCTTTGTGATACAAAGAGAAATGTGGCTACAGAATAGAATCACTTGTTCTTTGTTAAAAGCTTGACCTTTTTTCATTGGTATCACATCCTTCATCTTCAAAAAATTACTTCAGGCTGTCTCTTTCTTAATTCTATCTTCTGTATTATATCTGCCATTATCTGTTATTATTTGACAATTATTAATAGACAATTAATAAACAAACCTATCTACTGTTCCAGTGTGCCACCATCCACTTGGCTGTTTACTTTTCCTTCTTCCAACATGATGTCCCATTGTTTCTGTCTTTATAGTGGTCATATTCTAAATTTCTAGATTTTCTTTTATCTACAATATGTTGTAGGGTCTCTTAAGGCCATAAGACCATAAGACATCAGAGCTGATAAAGGCCATTCAGCCCATCAATTCTGCTTGATTTCTTGATTCCCTTTTGATTAAAAATTTGCCAATCTGAACCTTGAATATTTTCAATGACTCAAGAACTCTATGCACTAAAGAATTCCACAGATTCACTCCCTCTGAGAGAAAAGAATTCCTCCTCATGTTCGTCTTAAGCAGATGGCCCCCTTACTCTTAAAATATGTACTTTGGCCCTAGACTCTCCCACAAGTGGAAAAAAACTCTCCACTTCTACCCTGTCAAACCCATATGAATTTTATGTTTCAATAAGGTCGCCTCTCATTCTTTTCAATGTCTATATGTACAGGCCCAATCCTACTTAACCTCTCCTCATAAGAAAATCCCTCCGTTTCCAGGATCAACCGAGTGAACATTCTCTGGACTGCCTCCATTGCCAGTATTTCCTTAGATAAGGGATCCAAAATTGTTCACAAAGCAAGATCTTCTTTTACATGCCCTTATTATCTCCTGATTTATTCTCTGTCCTACATCATAGCTCCTGTTAGGGGACCTAAAGATTACTCTCACCAGTGCATTCCTTAATTTACTTTTTCTCATTTCCATCCATATGGACTCTATATCTTCTGATCCAAGATCATTTCTTGCTATCACATTTATTCCATCTTTCTTTGTACTAACAAAGCCACTTCACTGCCCTTTATGATTCTGATTACCTTATGATTCAGGAAGGAGCACTGTGTCATCAGTGTACCGCAAGTGCGTTATTTTCTTCTGTGAAGGAAAAAACAGAGTTAACATTTTGAGTCCAGTCACCCTTCCTCAGAACTGATGGTGGCTGGGAAAACGTCAGTTTATATGCAGAAAAAAGGAGGAGGATGGGGTAGGGAGTAAACGGTAGGATAGAGCCGAAAGAGAGAGAAGAGCAGTTGGACAGACAAAGAGTTGATAACAATCAGGCTGGGAGGGTGAATAGTTGTTAATGGGGCCTGTTAGTGACAAACAACAGGTAGTGTGTGATGGCAGGCTATGTGGTAACAAGGTGTGGTGTGTGGGGTAGGGGGCTGGGACATGGGAGAGTTTAGGCCCTAAAATTATTGCCAATCAAGCAGGCTGCTTTGTCCTGCATGGTCATAGATTCATAGAGTCATAGCGTCCTACAGCACAGAGACAGGGCCTTTGGCCCAAACTGGTCGATGCTGAACTAAATGTCTATCCACGCTAACCCCATTTCCCTGCACTTGGCCCATATCCCTCTAAACCCTTCCTATCCATGCATTCATCCAAATGCCTTTTAAATGCTGATAACGTACCTGCCTCAACCACTTCTGCTGGCAGCTCATTCCATATGTGCACCACCCTCAGTATAAAATAGTTGCCCCTCAGGTTCCCATGTATTCTTTCCCCTCTTACCTTAAATTGATGCCCTCTAGTCCTCGATTCCCCAACTCTGGGAAAAAGACTGAGTGCATTCACCCAATCAATGCCTCTCATGATCTTATACACTTCTATAAGAATCCCCCCTCAGTCTCCTATGTTCTAAAGAAAAACGTCCGAGCTTGTCCAACCTAGCTTGTCCCTATAACTCAGTCCCTTGAGTCCTGGCAAAATCCTTGTAAATTTCTTCTGCACTCTTTCCAGTTTAATAACATCTTTCCTACAGCAAGGTGACCAAAACTGAACACAGTACACCAAATGCGGCCTCACTAACGTCCTGTACAACTACAACATAACTTCCCAACTTCTGTATTCAATGCCCTGACCGATCAAGGCCAGTGTGCCAAAAGCCTTCTTCACTGCCCTGTCTACCTGTGACTCCACTTTCAGAGAACCATGCACCTGAACTCCAAGGTCCCTCTGTTCCACTACACTCCTTAGGGCCCTACCGTTCACCATGAAACTCCTACCTGGATTTGACTTTCCAAAATGCAACACCTCACACTTATCTATATTAAACTCCATTTGCCATTTATTGGCCCACTTCCCCAGTTGATCACGATCTTGCTGCAATTTCTGATAACCTTCCTGACTGTCCACAATACCGCCTACTTTAGTGTCATCTGCAAATTTACCAATCATGCCTTGTACAT